CTTCTTTTGATGCTTCCTGTATGGTTTAGTATTTTCCCCATAGAATCCTTCAATATTGCAACTCGAGGCTAGAATTTTTTCTTTAATTCTTGCAGCTTGAGAAATGCCAAGCATGTTCTTCCCTTTTGGTTTTCTAACTCCAGGTCTTTGCACGTTTCTTTGTAATACTTTACTTTGTCTTCTCAAGCCACCCTTTGAAATCTACTGTTATCTCTTTTTCTTCATCATTTCTTCCTTTCATTTTAGCTACTCTACACTCAAGAACAAGTTTCAGAGTCTCTTTGACATCCATCTTGGTCTTTACTTTCTTTCCTGTCTTTTTAATGACCTCTTGCTTTCTTCATACATGATGTCCTTGATGTCATTCCACAATTTGTCTGGTCTTCGGTCATTATCGTTCAGTGTGTCAAATCTATTCTTGAGATGGTCTCTAAACTCAGGTGGGATATACCTCAAGGTCATACTTTTGCTCTTGTGGACTTTTTCTAATTTTCTTCAACTTCAACTTGAACTTGCATATCAGTAATTGTTGGTCTGTTCCGCAGCTGGCCACTGGCCTTGTTCTGACTGATGATATTGAGCTTTTCTATAGTCTCTTTCCACAGACATGGTCAATTTGATTCCTGTGTATGCCATTAGTTGAGGTCCACGTATATAGTCGCTAAATTCTATCATGCAATTTCCCGCATCATTTCTATCACCAAGGCCATATTTTCCAACTACCAATCCTTCTTATTTGTTTCCAACTTTCACATTCCAATAGCCAGTAATTATTATTGCATCTTGATTGCATGCTTGATCAATTTCAGGCTGCAAAAGTTGGTAAAAAATCTTCAGTTTCTTCATCTTTGGCCTTAGTGGTAGGTGCATAAATTTGAATAACAGTCATACTAACTAGCTAGTCTTCCTTGTAGGCATATGAATATTACCCTATCACTGGTAGCGTTATACTTCAGGAAAGATCTTGAAATTTCTTTTTGACAATGAACATGACGCCATTCCTCTTCAATTTGTCATTCCCGGCATAGTAGACCATATGATTGTCTGATTTAAAATGGCCAGTAACTGTCCATTTCAGCTCACTAATGCCTAGGATATTGTTTATGTTTTATGTGTTCCATTTCATTTTTGACTATTTCCAATTTTCCAAGATTCATACTTCATACATTCTACATTCTTGTTATCGATGTTTGCAGCTGTTTCTTCTCATTTTGAGTCATGCCACATCAGCAAATGAAGATGCCGAAAGCTTGACTCCATCCACGTCATTAAGGTCAACTCTGCTTTGAGAAGGCAGCTCTTCCCCACTCATCCTTTGGGTACCTTCCAACCTGAGGGGCTCATCTTCTGGTACTATATCAGACAGTATTCATAAGGTTTTCTTTCACTGGGTACTTTTTTTCAGAAGTAGACGGCCAGGTCCTTCTTCCTAGTCTGTCTTGGTCTGGAAGCTCAGCTGAAACCTGTCCACTACGGGTGACCCTGCTGGTATTTGAATACCGGTCACATAGCTTCCAGCATCACAGCAACACGCAAGTCCCCACAGTATGACAAACTGACAGACACGTGGGGGATATAAGAGGTAGAAACGGTTATTATCACCCCCATCTTCGAGATGAAGAAGCTGAGGCTCGGAAACTTAAATATAAACACGTGGCCACGCAACCACGGAGCTGGGGCTGTTCATCACCATGATTTATTGCCTCCGTTTGGACTGGGTAACCTGGGTGTTTCCCAAGCTTCCCAGCTAGGAGCTCGTCTCTTATACAACCCTCCCCTCAGACTTTCTCAACCCTCGTGTGGTTTCAACCATCCCCACAAATAACGATGGGATGGCTCCAGCCCAGATCTACCCCCTTAGTTAGACCCAGTAATCAAAGATGTGGTGAAACCCATGCGAAATTATGCACTACAGATTAGTAAGTAAACGCAAGTAATCGTGTGCGTACCTTGCTTGATGTAAGCTCATGCATACCTTGCTTACTGGTTAATCTCTGGGAGCCGAGGCCCTGGGCCCAGACAGCTGTGTCCCTAGCTCAGAATCCCTGCCCAGCAATGCTGGTGCACTGCAACTTCCTAAACCTCATTGCAGTCGAGTCAACTCTGACTCATGGCACCCCCGTGTGTTACTGAGTAGAACTGTGCTCCGTAGGGTTTTCTTGGCTGTAATCTTTACGGAAGCAGATTGCCAGGCCTTTCCTCCATGGCACTGCTGGATGGTTTTGAACCGCCAACCGTTCAGTTAGTAGCCGAATGCAAACCACGTGCACTACTCAGGGACTTATCTGTCACTTCCTAGGGACCCTCAAATTCCCCAAGACCAAGAGCAAACCACCCTCCTCCTCCCAGCACTGCTCGTCCGCCTGTTCTAAACCTCT